AAAAAAGAAAAAAAAAAAAAACCAAACAACAAACAAAACCCAAGAAAGAAAAAAAAAACAAAAACAAAAACAACACTTCCAGCTAGGAAAAGCATGTTGATAAAAACACCATTAAGGTAACATTAGTTTCATTAGCCCCTGTAAAAGGTTTCAGGTAGCTACACCTAGAATTGAATATTCACAGACCATGCTACTGGAGCTTGTAGGGAACTGTATTTTATAAAAAGTCAGTTTTGAAGTTAATTTTAGCCTAAACTGATCAGCATTTTCAACATACAAAAGATGAACACTTGCTGTTTTCAGGACAACAGGCTCTATCTTCTATACATAAGAAAAACCCCTCATCAAAACAAAAAAAACCCACAATATCACCTTATTGATGAATTTACAGTTTGCTCTTCCATCAGAGCACCAAAAAAAAACCCCAAACAAAAACCACAACAAGATGGGGAAAAAAAAAAAAAAAAAAAAAAAAAAAAAAGAGGAAAACTACCAATAGCTCCTTTCAGGTAAAGGAGAAATAACACAGTGACCTGAGTAGCCAGTTCATGCCTACACACTTTCCATTTAAATCTGTACCTTTCCAAACAGCTATTGCAAAGGCAAAAGCACTTTTTTTTTTAATTTATCTTTGAGTAATTTTTTGACAAAAATTTCTGACTACCCACGAAAGTTATTTACAAAAGATCTTTGAGCTAATGTAACTTCTTCAGGTAATGGGATACAAACTCACATCCATTTGCTGTAACTGGGCATCTTTGACAACTGTAGGTGAATCAGAAGACCAAGGTTTTAGCATCATTCATTTCCCACCTTTTTCAAGCAGGCACCTTTCAGAAACTCATTTGGGCCTGATAAAACTTTTGTCAGCTTCTCTTCTCCGGAGAAGCAGATGCCCTCAGTTTTCTCAGTGTCCACAGTGCAGGACCAAGCAGCCCTGCCCAGCAGCCTCCCCAGGGATTTTCATACCACTTCAGCAGGTGCTGTGACAGCAGACGAGATATCCCCTTACTTTATTCCCAGAAGACTTTCAGGACACGCAGATCTCTGCTCCCCGTTGACAGCACGGGGCACGCCAGGTCAGGAGGCAGCATGGCCGAAGAACCTTTATGCCAGGCCGCGCTGTCTCCTGCAGACCCCTCTGGGGAGGGCTGTGCAACCATGGGGGGAGCCAGAGAAAAACAGCAGGGTATGTCTGAGGCCAAAGAGATGACACACAACCCCGCACACGGTACATCTCCAGGATTGTGAAGAGGGCTTGCTGTAGGCACGGAGTCTCTGGGGGCTGCCTTGATCCCATCTCTAAACCATTTATAGCCTGTCTGGGCCATTTATAAATGCTCCAGTCTCCTTTTTAGTAAGCATAGGTTCAATCCTGCTCTGTCGAGTCGACCGAAAATTTCCCATTAACATTAATGGTCCCAGCTCAAGCCATAAATTCCTCTAGCTCCCCAGCCACTAGTGCTGACCTTTGCTTAAACTTCCTCAGATTTGTCATCATCCTTCTGGAAAGCAAATCCTTCTGTTCTATTTTTCTCTTCACAGTGGTTTCCAAAAATCTTGTCTCTCTTTATTAACTGTGACTTTCATCAATGCACTCACACCCCAACATCACTGATTATGAACACCACCACCCCTACAAAGATCCACACGATATCTCTCTCACTCAACCCAATGCAAGGCCATTGCTCATGATACTTAGTTTGTGTCCCTTTGCCAGTCAACATAAGGACACGATCAGAAATAATGCAGCTGTGGATCTAAAAAACTACCCAGACTGCCACATTCAACAAAAGGGAAACAGCGTCTTACTGGCACACTTTCTCCAGTCACCAATTCTGAAATCTTTTCTGGAATGCCCACCTAGTTTACCTGGCAAGATTTGTTCTTTGTTACATTGATCATGCTCACATGCATTATGAAAGATGAGCATTACAGCAGTATTCAAATGCCTCGCAGCACCTACCACATGTCTACTCCCTGCTCGAAAGCAGAGTAACATCATCCCCGTTTCACACACGGGAAGCCAGCAGCAATGGCCGAACCTCTCCCATGAGCTCTGCCCCTAGGCAGGCCGCGAGGCCCAGCACAGCTGCAGCCACGTGGGCCAGGGCCAGCACCCCAGCCTCTTCCAGCATGTGCTGGCTCCTCCCCACCTGGAAAGCAGCTGCAGACCAGTCTTAATCACCTGGCAAAGCCACCCGAGAAGGCTGCACCGGTCTCCTCACGTCCAAGGCCAGCATCCCAAACAGCTTTGCTCCTGCCTCACAGGCCAAGTTTCACACTTGGAGCTTAAAAATAAGCCTCCAACCTTGCAGCAGATGTTTGTGAAGCCACGTGAGCTCTGACCTGATCCTTCCAGGCCTTGGCGGTGTCACAGGCTATGGCAAGAGGAGGAGATGCCTGCTTCTTCTACACCTTTGGCACCTCTTTCCCCCTTTAGCACTTCAGATCACTCAACCCTAAGGAAGTGTCTTGGTTCTTTCAAATTTGGGGGGATTTTTCCACCTCCACAGAGGAGTAAAATTTCAGCTGCAATGCAATATGCGTTACCACAACACAGACCAAGTAAGCCACACCACAGAGAGCAAGTTATTGCTCCTCTTACCTCTCCACAGAGGACTTAGCCCTGCCTTGCTCTTGGTAAGGGCAGTTTCTGGATTGAAGCTACTGGCTTGGCTCAAAGCTCTTGAGAAGTGTTCATCCACTACTGAACCAATGTCTCCCTGGAAGTAAGTGAAAAGGACGCAGCGAGAGTTAAGGTACTCCATCTCAGCAGGCTGGTCTTTCTCATCCTCCTCTTGCTTGCTGGGAAGGGACACTTCCAGAGACTCCTGCATCTTGTTGTACACAGATAACTTCTTCTGGGATTAAAAACAAAACAAACAAGAGATGTATGACTGATGGCATTCATTGCAAACTCAACATCCGGTTTTCTTAAAGAAAAATAACTGAATACATTGGAATATTCATTTCATAATTACAGTTGTAATACAGGGACATTTTGCACCGACATTTCACAAAGAAGATATTACCAGCACCACTTACAGTTTTTATTCCTCACACATAGATACACCTGCTTCTGAGGCACATTTCACAACCACAATTTATCGGCAACAGCTTTCACTCAATACCTTCAAAAGAAAACAGACAGATTCTAACAATTCACTCCTGACTCCCACCTGGATAGGATATTCCCATCAGCAAAGTCTACAGAGGTTAAGTCCAGCCCTGCAGAAGGGTGGCCAGATATACAACGTCTGCATTTCACCTATCTAGCTGAACATACATCAGGTTTTGTCCACCGTGCTCCCCGAGTTGAGAGTACATGGCCCTCTAGACTCCGCACATCTATTCTTTGCTGAAGACATAAAGACAGAAGAATTTGGTGCTTCCTGAAAATTTTTCAACTGTATTATCAAAGTCCACAAAATACATAAATCCTCACCCACTGCCAAGAAAATTTTTATCATAGGAAGCTATACCTTAGGGTGGTGAGTAGGGTTTGGGGGAGAGGTTTAGAGGGGTTTTTGGTTGGTTGGTTTGGGGTAGGCTTTTATTGTTTTTTTGGGGTTGGAGTGGGGTTTTTTTCCCCCCTTTTTTCTTTTTTTTTTAAACACCAGTTTCTGGAAAAGAAAGGACAAAAACTCAAATCATTAAAAAATAAACATGTGCCCTGGGGGAAGAAGGAGATTGACAAGTCTGCAAACACATGCAAAAAATATACCCCAAACCAAAAACACAGAGAAGAATACAAAAAAAAAAAAAAAAAAAAAAACCTGCACAAGCCATCTGTGAATGACTATTTTAGAATCTTCTCGCTCTCTCTTGAATCAAACCTAAATGCCAAAATATATGTGTGTGAAGATCCATTCTGCATGGAACATATCTTTCAGATGTTCCCCTTTACAACTGTTTTCACAGAAAAAAAAATCTCCCCACAACAGTCAAGCTGCAGGAATCATAGCTTTTAGCTGGCTAGCCATTTCCACAGCTGACTTTACACACAAGCAGCTTCAGGAACCCAAAACCAACTACAGCACATATGTAGAATTATTTCATAGCTTTTCTATAGAACTACAGTTTGACTTATCTTTTATGGTTTCTTGGCAACAGTTTAGCACCATCAGAATCTCTTTAAGTTTACAGCTTTTCTCCCCTTTTCCAAAGTTGTTCACACAGTCTATAAATTTCCATTTATACAATTAAATAAGTTTGTCCAATTTAGAAATAAGTGAAAGTCATTTTCCGATCTTGTATACCATCAACATATTTACATTCGGATTCGGTGCTTTCTAAAATTGTATAAGCTGCCACAAATTCTCTCATTGTGATACAAAACAGATATGCTCAGGCTAATTCTTAATTATGAATGTTTACTAAAAAAATAACTGCAAGAAAGAGCTATTGACAAGTGGAATTAAAACTGACAATACTAAAAGCTCATAGCAATTAAGTGATGGATCTGTCATTACAGTAGGTTAACTGATAAACATAAAACAACTCAGTAATATCTTTAATTCCAATGCTGCTACATGAATAACAAGGAGATATTTAAGTGATTTTATTTTACATATTGGGATATCTAGATGATGGCCTGGAAATCAAGTAAATCTGTGTTTCACAAAACAAGTTATACTATGGCTCTGCTTAGCACAGTACTACTTGTTTAGACTTACAGTTTTATCCCAAGATCCTATAATATATAAAGAAAAACTGTGGGATTCACTTTAAAAAAAGAAAGAAACTATGATGGAAATAGAAAATTAATTGTTAAAACTAATTTCTAAAATGAAACAGTCTGAGGTTCTGAAACTTATTTTTGCAAATGCAGAATTTGAGGTGGCCTATACTTTTTTGTAAATTCTTTGTGCCTTCTGTAAACAAACAAAGAAAAAGCCTCCTAATATTTGTTCCTGGAATGTTTACTGAGATATCACACACTGTAAGCTTCATGGTTTTGCCTAAGCAATTATGGAACAATGAGACCTTAGTAAATCAGAAATTGTTATAATATTGCATATATAGGAGCTATATGCATTAGAAATCTGTAACACATCTACATCAGTGACTTGATCATTCTTAAAGGTGCACCACAAGCCAGATCCCCTTAAAAATGCAGGACAAGTTGTCAGGGAGGGTGTTTTTTTAATTTTTGGTTTTGGTTGGGTTTTGTTTTTTACGTGGAGACAAAGTATGAAAGAGATGCTTTATAGAAGTCTAAATAGATATTGATATATTACGACATCTCAGGTGCAGTGTATATGCCAGACCTTGAATGCATATAATACACTTTAAAAGTTGACTTCTATCACTATAGGTACACTATATTTATACCACAAGTATGCAAATAGATACACAAACACGTAATTATATACAGAAACACATCGTTTAATATAGCCCCTGGCTTGACTTGGTTATCAGGAAGGAAGTCTTTCAATGTTCCTATATAGAGACTGGAGCTCAGGAAATTAAAACTTATCTCCAGAGTCGCTTCTCTGTGCAGGAATGTTCCCCCTTCCACAGCCTAAGAATCTAATTCATTTTCCATTTCAACTCTCTTCCCTCCCCTCCAGTCCATGGGCAGTCATTACAAGATATTCTGAGTACTTGCAGGTTTTGAAAACACCAAACACTTTTTTTTTTTAATGTAAAAATAGATGGTAGTACTGACGGACAAGTACAAGGCCTTGTGTATGGACTGAAGTTATTTACAGTGAAAAGTTGTCATTTGTGTTGAGTTTTTTTGCAAATGATGAGAGTTTCAAATTAAAAGATTTTTTAAAACTGCATCAAGCCTGTGATCAGGTACAGATCTACTTAATCTGTATTGCAGGAAGAAATTATCAGCCTGTAATTACAAGAGTCTGTAAATAAAAAGACCACAGTGAGATAAAGTGACTCAGCAAGTTTTCCTTGTATGCAGCATATATACACCCTTTCCATTGCATATATCCTTTAATAATGTTTTTTCGACCCCCAACTCCTTTAAATATCCTGCCTGCACACAAATTCCATCTTACTTGTTCTGACCTTAACAGTAATCTTCTCATAGCATTTCTGACTGCACTTGTGTGAGTGGAAAAGTATGCAAGATCATCAACTGCTAAATGAATTTGTCCCAACCATCATGACAGTGGGGAGGACAGGATGAAACAAAACCAAACAGGTTAGGTTTCTGATAACTAATCTGGGCTAGTCCAGTTTCATCTGTACTTTTTTTCATGCAAACAGTTCTGGCATATATTAAACCAGACAACAGCATCTGTAATATCTTTACAAAGAGTATTTTCTGACCAAACGCAACATATTTCTTGCCTATGTTCAGATCTCTAATACTTTCATATATTCATTAATTCCACCTCTCTCCTCTTTACAAACTAGAGACTGAGATTAAGCAGCCTCTGAAAAAACAAACCAAACCAAACCAAACACACAAAATCTCATCTTGGCCAAGACCCAGAATACAGAATTAAAAATCAGCTTAGCATACCGGGAAAAAGGGAAATCCAGTGTCTGTAGCACCTGATGCCAGCCGAGATAATAGACCAAATTTGTGGCTGAAGGATGAATGGTACAACCCCTGGGTAAATAGAGCTGTACAGCATCAGCTGAATTCAGCTTAAACCAACATTATTTTTGTTATTTCATATATTCACAAACAGGCTCTTCCACAGATAATTTAAGATCTTAACTGCACATTGTCTAACGAAAGGAAACTAAAAGTCAATAGCAAATCACTGCTAATACAGGAATATTAAAGAGAAGGTTTAAATCGGATAAGCATCATCCCATCTTCTGGAAGAAAATGGACCACTTTTACACCAAAAAAGCACGTGATCAAAAATCTCAAGCAAAACCCCTGTACTGAAGATTCCTGTTTTCTGACACATCCTATCCAGAAACAAGCAAGATGGTTCTCATGCAGTGAGATTCTGACCACATTAAAGCCAATGGCAAAAGTCCAACTAATTTCAAGGGTCCCAGATCTCACCCAGGGTGTCTGGTAAAAATGTCAGAACATTCCTCTTCACAAACTGAAAAAAAAAAAATTTACTTCCAACTGAAAACAGCTAGTACGCGGCAAAACAGAAAAACAGCCAAGCACAGCTGAGACCAGAGAAAGTTTTAGTTTAGCCAAATTTGAATCAAAAATTCAGGTCAGCCCTTACTTTACATATAAGCTGGTTACCTATTTCTACAACTTATTATCTCCATACATACCATCATACAGCATATGGTCCTTTATGCTCCCAAGCATGAAAGTCTGGTGTGCCTGTGGCCACCTGTTACAGATTTTCCATTATGAGAGAAAGAACAGTAACCAAAAATAAAGAATAGCTACACTGGGGAAACACTATATGACCCTATCCTGAGAAAAAGGCTGTCATTTGACATAAGCTTCTGAGAAGGAATTTCAGCAACAAACTCAAGGCAAATCACGGACAGTCCTCCATTTGTGAAGCGGTCTGCCAAGCAGGCTCCTATTGATAACACAGAAAGTATTCAAGGAACAAGACAATTTCAAGTAATCAGTGCATGGAATGCTGGGCCTGAAAGTGGTATTTACGGCATGCCCTGCAAACATGAAATGCTAAATTCTACCCTTGCAAATGAGCGAGCCAAGAGCAAAGCCACATGCTTGCTTTCAGGTGGGCCACTGGATTTGCAGCAGTAGAGCCTGGAGCTCCTGCTGTGCTCTGCTGGTGAAGGGAAGAGGTGGAAAAAGAATTAATTTATATATCTTTTGCTGTACTTATAAACAGAGATGTACCATTAGAGTTTAGAGCTCTATTTTTATGTAGATAGAGAAAGATCAAATAGAATTTGGCCCCAAACAGAACAATAAAGTAAAGCAGGACAA